ACTTTTCTAATGGTCCGTCCCTAACAACCTTCGGCTCTCTGTCCATTCGATCAGCTTCTGCAATTCCTTTCTTCCCAGGTTTGACAGGTTTAGCCTGAACGTTATGCAATGTTTGTTGCGTCATTCTTTCCAGTTGTTTCGTAATTTCATTTAAACTTTTCTTCATTTCCGCATTGTCTGCTTTTAGCTGACGATTGCTTTCTTCCTGCTTGTTAAGTTGTTCTTGAACCAGTTCAACTTTTGCGATCACATTCTTAACATCAACTTTCACGTTTTCCTCATTTCTTTTCAGGTTTTCTTCAACTCGCTCGAAATTTTTCTCAATTTTCTCCAAGACGTTTTTCTCATTTCTGTCCAACTTTTCATTCATTGCTGCCAAATTAACTTTCACTGTATCCATCTCTTGTCGAATGTCGTTGCAGTTATGACATTCAACTCTGCGTAGTTCACATACAGCAGTTTCATGATGAACTAAATCTTGTTTATTCACCTCAAGTTGGCATCCTTTGTTGGAGCAGACTGCTGGGGCGAAACCGCATTCTGTGACATGCCTTTCAAGATCTCCCAGCTCAATAAACTTTCCACAACCACGATCAAAGAATTCACATCGAATTTTCAATTCGGCCAGCAAGTTTCTTATACCCCGAGGTGCTTGGCTTAGCGTCTCGACAGTGAGTGGTTCCATGCATGTCGGGCATGTTTGAAAGTTCATGAGATGTCTGGTGATACAAGCTCTACAAAAGATGTGTTCATTTTGCCGACACATAACCGGATCTCTGATGACATTGGTACAAATAATACAGTGAAAACTCTGACTGACAATCTGTTGAAATCGTTCATCTTCATAGCCAGTGTTGTATACGGCCAATTTCGAGGCCATTTCATTTCAAAAGCAGTTCATTAATTACAATACCAGTTGATAGCGTTCTCGGATTTTTACTTTCATTTCTCGTAATGCGCTCTCGTGTGAACCAGTGGATAGTCAGAATATAAACTGAATCAAGTCGTGTTTAATGACACAAACGACAGGTTTTTTAACTTCTACATCGCTATTTAAGAGCAGTTCTGCATCAATAACTATGGCCACGTCAATCTACAACCTCTCTTGGTTTGAACGTTTGTAACTTTGAGTTACTGAAATAAATCTTGCACTTACTATGGTTAATATTACCAGGATATGGTAAATTGATGTCCAATTGAGCGACGGAATGAGTCTTTTAAGAAAACAGTCGAAGAGCCTTGCATAGACAGTGTCGATGTTTAGTTTAGTTTCAGTTTGAGTTGAATACAAACAACCTAAATTCCTGAGTATTAAATTTCATTGGGATTGCGACATTGCACAATCTAAAAAATTGCAACAGGAAGTGTTTGCATGGCGATAAAACATATACATAATAGTGTTTTGTAATACGGTAGTACCGTATTACAAAATACGTCGGTAGTGACAGTCTATTGCAAAAAATCAGATAAAGATAAGTTATTTTATATCTTTCAAGCATTATTTTTGAACTAATGTTTTGTACAAATAATTATGTGTCAGCCTGGCGTACAGAAGAACACACGTTTGTTTCATTTTATATTTTCAGCTTCTGCTTAAATTCCTGAATATCAAATTACATTGAAAATTGCGACATTGCGCAGATCATGCGATTAAAATTCATGTATTGAAGAAAGTCAAAAACTGAAAAAAGAAGTTTGCAGAAACAAATATTGCGAGTCATATATCTCTGAGAAAAATTGTACAACATGTCAATGTAGATATTAAGATATATTTCGTATTTATGGATGACTGGATGTTGGGGAGCATTCATTTTTTAGCTGGGGGGGTGGGCCGGAGGAATTTGGGGGTGGGTCAGCCAATTTTGGCATGCTTCAAAGGGGTGGGTCTTTTTATAGTTTTGGTATAAATGGAGGGGGTCATAAAAATAATCAGTGAAAAAATCACCAATATAATTTTATAGAATTTGGAAATATTTGGATCAAAAATGGTAAAAAGGTCCAGAATCTATCTCGTCATCTATAACAATAAAGCAAAATTCATTTGATGCTCTGTTCACACAGTCCATAGGAAAACATTTCCATGACGTTTGTCAATTGACCTTGTTTTTATCCGTTTTTGTGTGAAAACATGAATGAAAGAAAACGCAGGACCGTAGCATGATTTCAAACTAATGCATGATTTCAAAGAGCGCATGACTTCAAAATCATGCAGCCTTTATCAATTTTAAGCTTTATTAATTTTAAGCGGCTACATTATCCATGACAAACTGCAAAGAATGAAGACAGTACCCACAGTTTCCTGCAACTTATCCTAGTTATCCAATATATAGTAAATTAAATATGCCTTCGCCCATTTAGTACTACCAAATTGTCAATTTCGACATACTAAAACGCTGTTTTCTGACCATCATCTGTCAAATCTTCCCCAAAGGCCAGGAAATGGCATTTCAGAGACTCTAGATTTAAAAATTTCCTCGGGCCTTCGGCCCTCACTTTCAGCCCCCAATCAAAAAGAGTTTCCTACAGCCCTGAAACGCTATGGAAACGACACCGTGTGGATTAATAGTTAGGATGAGGGGTCAAAAAATTTTCAGTAAAAAATATAGGGAGTCATAATTTTTTATCAACTTTTGTCTTGGGGGTTCCAAGTTTTCGCATGGAATTAGACATCAGTTCCTCCGGCCCACCCCCCCCAGCTAAAAAATGAATGCTCCCTTAGTTGCTTAAATTTTCAAAAACATACCCAACAAGCTTACCATACCCAAATGGGCGAAGTCGATCCTGACAGACGAACATTTGATTTCATTCTCCAAATTGTTGGCGAGCGGGTAAAATTTTGTTGATGGAAAATTTGATCTATTCTTGGGTTTCACAACAGCATAATGCAGTGAATCTGACAGGGGGTCAAGCTAAAATGTATTGTAATTTATGACGTCATATGAAACCCAAGAATAGACCCTAACCCATTTCATCCCCCTCTTATTCATAATTAGGTTGACCCACCTCCCAGAAATCATTTCGCTGCCCCCATCCCTCAATCCAACCGGCCCACCCTCTCTCGTTAAGAATAAGCGGTTCCTCCTGAATGGAACTTTTGCGAGAGTGTGTCCCGGAACTGTACAACTATGTACTACAGTGTTCTGGGAATTCAACCCGAAAACGAACAAGTACTGTGTATTTGCGATTTTCATGACAATTAAGATTTGGAAATGTGGAGGAGTGAAAAATTTGGAGGAGTGAAAAATTTTATGATAATTGCTAGTGTATTAGAACATTCGAAGAGGGAAGGGTGTGTTAACTTCCAATTACCTCCATGGGAGAGGTATGTATGTTTTCTGTAATGTTCCATTGTAAATTACTTTTCCAATGTATCAGTGACATATGCATATATGTTATGTAGATGATCTTTGCAAAATGCATTTTTCTTAAAAGATCGAAAGTAGAGTCTAATGATGTGGAATTAAATGAAAATATACAACAGCCTGCAACAGTTATATGCAATCCATTTTTTCTATACAGTACTAAATTCGTCCCGAACACGGACACTGTTTTTTGTTTTGGAATTTTTAGATATTTTGCCAAACGAAAAAATACGTAATCACCCGAGGAAAACCAGAGGATCTGGTGAAAAACCTTGGTGATTACGAGTCCGGATTCCGAAAACCCCGGGGGCAACCCTGTGTGACCGAATTAACTATAGTATATACCATACCTACCAATACCTACCAAAATCCAGAAAAGAAAAAAGTCTTGAAAAAAAACAGCTCAAAATAAAAAAATCTCACAAGATGTTCCAAAAAAATTGTAGACCACCCGAAAATTCAGTCTACAGATTGCGCAAGACAAATATATCTCTTTATGAACAAATTGTTCCACACGAGGGTATACTTGTCTTAACCCTGAAATCTGAAAATATTTCAAATATGTTCAGGACAAGGTGCGTGGCAAATGAATCCAATGACCCAACATATTTTACGATAGTTTGTAAAAGCTGTTAGGACACTTGGATGCATTTTGAAGATGTGATGTGTGCATTTCTATATATTTAGATTTTGGCGCATTTTGCTTTTATCGCCGCGGCGCAAGAAAATTGCAACGCGCGCACTCAATTTAAATTAGCATGCACTGGTTTTCATGCGCTTAATTTTACTAAGCATGCAACTGAGCGCGTTTAATTTTAATATGCATGAAACTTTGCGCACTTTATTCTAATCAACATGCACCTTAATTTTTTCAAGTTGACAATATAGAGCACACGTCACTATTTGCACATGGAGTACACTCACTGACTGTACTCCGCACTACAGCAGCACGCGCGCGCTGCTTATGTTAATTAGCTGCGCACGACCATGGTGTTTTTATGATCCATGGTTCGACCAAGTTTATGTATGAACAATGCAAGACAACACGGAATGCAACATGGCAAACATTCTATATTGCTATTGCGGCCATATATAAACTTGATCTGCGGAGTGTTTTCACGGCGGCTATGTTTGGGAACAAGTTAAAGTACCGAAATACAAGTAAGCAAGAAAACCACTGTTTTAAAATACTTGTCCGTCAACAAAGCAACACGTGAAAACACCCTATTACCTGGCGGTCTTTTCAACTGAAAACTTATAGTACAATTTATAAAACGCGCACGCGCAATGCATTAGCAACCTAAAGAAACGAGCCTCTTCTCCACTTTGGAGCGAGAACTACGTTTCTTATCTTTAAGCTCCTAATCCAAGATATTTTAGGCAGAAAAGCGTTTCTTTTTTGTTGTTTTTTTCTGCGATGAGTATTCTTGGATTATTGTTGCTTATATTCAAAGTGGTTTTTTCTGTTTTATTTTTCTCTTTTTCGCAATATTTCCTTTTTTCCACTTTGAATTGGTTCTGTAAGTATTTTTCAGCAGGAAAACAGATCCATTTTCCTGTTGTGTTAAATACTTGTCAGAAAGTTACTGGCGCAAAAGTATCACATTACTGAATTACAGTATATACATGCCTTATAGTATGCACGCCCTATTTCTAGCTGCCTAACCTTCCTAACTAGTGCGCGCGCACACATACACTTTCAAAAACCTGCAAGGGAAACCCCCGAGTGTGGAGTCTCGGTCATGCCCCTAGCTTAATTAACTTAACCTAGTGTGCTATTGCACCTGATGAGCTTCCACAAACAGGGGTAAGGTTTGCATGCCTTATGTTAATGTCTTCTATCGTCGAGCCGCCATAACAGAGAGGGAACCTAATCTCTGGTAGCGAACTGTTTTCATATAACTCGGGGCAGAAAACTAACGTTCGAAACCAGCGATATACATGCACTACGGGCGATGAAATATACTAGACTATTTATTATTACAATAATTGTGTTATTACAGTCCTAAACTGATCTTTCTGTTTGTGGAAACCGGAGTACCCGGCGAGAATCCACATCTCTCAAAAAATCTTGTCCACAACGATATCCACCAATCTTCTTACGGGTACCATTTGCACCCTCTAAGCTATGGATACCATTTGCATCCAGTTTAGTTATCCTACCCAAGAAAAACTATGCCAGCTTTTCAACAAAATTTTGCCTACACCATTATTTTACGTACACAAATATACAGATCATGTAATGAATTAATTAAGGTTAAGGTTATAGGGTTAGATTTAACCCCAAGCCAAAATCTAATACATTTCATGATATTTCTATACATTTATGAACATAACATATTGATATAAACAAAATTTTAAGTCTGGCACGGTTTTACTTGTCTGCCTATACTCTGAATACTAGCTGCGCGCTGCGTTTATCCATGCACAGACACGGAGACACCTAAGCAGTACATTTACACAAAGAGAAGAACATTAGCACGAACAGACCGCAAATAGCTAGTGGGTCTCAGTACGAGTTACTAGAGTGAAAAAATAATGTTTACCCTTTTTCATTTTATGTAGTAGTCTTGTATTTGAAGCAAATAAATTGCTCCCTCGTCTGGACTGTAACACTTACTGAAACCCACCAATAACCGAACCGAGTGCATGCAAAGAACCACGTGACCGGAAGCTCAAATGTTAACCTCTTAAGATTGACTTTCGATTGCAGATGATGTCGAAATTCCGATTAACTGAGGTCAAAAAGGTACCTCAATTTCTTATTAGCATGCAAGCATCTGAATAAAAAATCAACCTTGCGTGCAAATGTACTACTGACCGCAGACCGCCAGGAATTTAAACCGGTTAACCCAGAGACTTTACCGACCACATGCAAATTAGAGTCCTGGGTATGAATCGTACAGATATACTGCCTGTTAGCAGGCTAACTAGTGCCTGATAGCAGGCTAACTACTGCCTGATAACAAGCTAACAGCTGCTTGTTATCAGACTAAACCCTCTAACCTTGAGACAGTCATCTCGTTGCCGTCGTGCAGCTTTCGTTGTCGAGGTACATTGGTAGGTAACCGTCGATCGTGAGGTACATTTTATCCACAAATGTTCATAATAATTCGTAAGTGTTTCTTTATCCATTTAATGTTCACAATTATCCATAAATGTTCACAATATTTCCAATAGTACACAGTGTCACAGTAATCCGTATTTATCCATTGATATCCGCTACGACTCCCACTGGCCCTCCCATCAGACACCTCAAAATGACGTTTTGGTCAGTTTTAATTTTTGTTTGTCAATATTTTTAATACAATTATAGTATCTGCGAGAAACACATTAACTAGTCAAAAACCATAAAATTCTTGAAAGATTAAACCTCAAAGAATGTTTATATTAAAGATAGTCAAGCCAAAATCCCAAAGTCAACAGCAAAATGATAACGGGAAAACGCTGGATAAAGCCACTCAGACAAAAAGACGGCCACAAATCAAAGTTTGGTGGTACTTCCGCTTGATCTTTCCAGGCCTACAGGCGAGCTGTCCCAATCTCATGCCACGAACAAAAAGCACAAACGCAAGGTTGGCCAGACTTTACATTTGCGCTAGTTGATCACGACAATCGATCAGAGCAACTCAACTGTAGGTCGGGAAAGTCCGAGCCGAAGTATCACCGAACTTCGACGAATGGTCGACCACTCCTCTGGCATGATTTTACCTAGCATTTAAACCAAATACCAAAGTGATGTAAACTTCAAAATTTCATTTCTAATATCTTTCAAATAAACAAACTCCCAGATAGAAACTTCCGAATTTTAAACATTTTGATTTCGTTAAGAGCTTTTCACAAATACCAAGAAGTGTAGAAAATTTGAATAAATTGCGAAATTAAGAAAAATGTGCCACATTTAAATTTGTTTTGTGCATTTGGGCGTCCTCAGGGTGGGCCCACGTACTTCGAACACGCACAACGAGAATCACGAGGAAAAATACCTTCTGAATGTAGAACATCTTTCACGATGGTATGACGTATTGGTTATGGTCTCTGGATGGTACGGCGTCGACTGTCGCTTGCCAGGTCTTTGCATCTCATTCACAATTGGTCGATTGAACGAAATCTGATGATGGGTGATCTGCTTTCGTTACTGTCCCTGGATGAGTGGCAATCTCGTCCAAACTTTGCACAAGCGAAATCTGACAATGAATGCTGTGGGTTCGCAAAAGGAATCGAGGTGGTGGCTGCACGTTCTCATTTGTCCTTTGCCTTCTTGTCTTTCTCGTTTTGCTTCGACTGCTAGGCGAGCGCCTCTACAAATCTGCGCAGAGGTCTTTCTGTACTGTTTGCCATCGAAATTATCGACTTTGAGGCAGTCTAAAAAAAATTGGACAATGAATTTTTAGTTTCAAAACAACGAAGAGTTATTCAATGTCGTTTACACAGGGTGTGGTTTTCCAATTCAATATTTTAAAGAATGCATGCATCTATGCATAAAATTAGGGCATGAACCACGAGGACATTTTTCATCTCTAAAATTCGTAAAAATATTCGATGAAATTCAACTTAGACAACCTCAAGAAACTCGAAAAGCTTAGCCTTCCCTCTCAGAGAACAATTTGTACATATAAAACGACAAGTTTGTAAAAGCTAAAATGTTCGAAAATGATATGCCACACCCCCTGCATGTGAAATTGAACATGCCTAAAATAAGTCTGCAATTCGCTCGGTATGAACAGAAGTTTCACCAATATTTAACTAAACTTGACTCAGAGTGTTCATAAGGCGACAAAGCAATGCTAGAGGATGTTCTAGGTGTATTGGGGAAGCTTAAAAACGAGAAACAAACAAGAAGGAAACGCCTATAATGGATGTTAATAATTATGCTTACCATGTGCTTTGGTATTTCCACCATGTTGGAGACTTAAATTAGTTCACTTTCTCTTCAAATTTTCGCCCTGAAATTGCAGATAAATTAAATGTGAGTTAAATGAATCAAAGATGGGGTATTTCTGAACATTACTGCTAGGAAATTAGGGATAGACACTGAGAAAATAAAGCGACTCAGCGCTGAAACGAAGCGCTTGAATGGGAATCAAATTGAATACGTACTACAATGAATATAGACACGTGTTTTAAAAAACAGCAATAACTTAACAAGAACAACTCAAAAACGTTCAAAAAATAGCTAAATTTAATACTGACCTTTCCCTCAGCATGGCATAACGATTTTATTTCGAAAACGTTTCGTTAAAGCGAAGTTTTGCACAAACTTTAATGTGTGCTTTCCTAAACTTCGAGTCAGAATGACGCCTCCAAGCTCGAGCAGAAATATTTAAATTTGCCACGAATGCGTAAACCACACCCTTGTTTGCTATTGGTAATTTTTTTACGAGCTCTGATTGGTTTAGCTTGGAAAAGCTTTGCTATCATTGGCTACTGCTAAAAGCAAGCATTGGTCTGAACTCCCTTGGGGATTAAATACGGTCGCTTAGAATGTTTAATTATTTGAATATACTGTTGAACTTGTTTACGTGTTTGAAGCCGGAATTTAATTATTTCAAATGCTTTGTCTGTGTTTATTGAATCACGCATGGGTGCATGAACGAATTATTTTACCTGCTTTTTCGTTGAAAACCAGTAAACTGTTTAAATAACAATAGGCTGAAGAGGAATCATGCATTGCTTTGTTAGTCTCATAAGGACTTATAAAACTCACTGTTCTTTATATTATAAATATTGACTTATTAAGAAATTAAAATATTAGCAGAAAATCTGCTCTTGGGAATTTAAAGCAGCTTCTTAGTTTAAATTTAAGTTTAAATTTAAGTTCTTTATGCATAAAATTTACTTATATTTACTTTTATGCATTATATAATTGTGTGCAGGGGCGGCGGAACAGATTTCATTTTGGGGGGGCTAATTTTTTTTCCGTGACATACCCCCCCCCCGTCGCAAAAAAAATTTCGGTCAGTGTACCATTTTAGGGGTAGAAAAATTTTCCCGGACATATACAAGAAAATGGATGAAAAAAAGTTTTCCAGACCTATAACAAAAAATTTTCCGGACATACACGATTTTTAAACAAAATATTCCAAATTTTTCCCCTTATACCTAAATTTTCCAAAAATAACCTACATTTTTCCTTAATTATCAAAATTTTTCCAGAGAAAACAAAATTTTCTGGGGGGGCTTAGCCCCCCCCCCACTTTTACTTCTGGGGGGGGGGCTTTAGCCCCCCTACTGTTCCGCCGCCCCTGATTGTGTGGGTTCAGCAGAGTGCAATCTCGAGCTCGTACCCAGAGTAATGCCTGTGCGCATTGCTCTGGGTACGAGATTGAGCAGAGTGCTGAGGCGTTCAAATTCTAACAACACGTTATTTCAATAGTTTTGGTTTTTCAATAGTTTTGGTTTTTCAATAGTTTTGGACACCCCGTAGAATGCTATAAAATTAGACGAAAAGTTATATATACATAGCCTTACTTTTTTGCCATTTTTTCAACAATGATAAAAGTGGCCAAAAATGGCAAAAAGTTAAAGCTATAGCCTTACTTTTTTGCCATTTTTTTGCCCCTTTTTCAAAAATGAAAAAAGTGGCTAAAAATGACGAAAACGTTACTTTTTTGCTCCTTTTCCAAAAATGAAAAAGAGGCTAAAAATGGACGAAAACTTCTCCATTACCATTCTGTAAACTATACTTGGGTGTCATCAGAAAAGCTAGTAACCTTGTTAGTAGAGGGGAACTGGGCAGATACCATTTTCTTGAAAAGTTTAGTAATGCGAAGGGGTGGACCACAGTCATCCCTAGGGTTAACAAAGGCAGCACAGCAATTTTTTCACAAAAAATCATGGAGTGGGACTCCAAACTTCGTGAAAATTGTCTAAATCCCTTCATCTCATCAAAACAGTTAGTTTCGATTGATAAAAACATGTTTTCAAAAATGCAAAGGGGGGACCACAGACTATCCATGGGTTGATCAAAGGGGGAACCACAGGAAAATTTTGAAAATTCATAAACAGACCCAACCCACTCCAAACTTTCTGAAAATTGTCGAAAACAGTTAGTTTCGATTGATAAAAGCAAAGACAGAGAAAAAACACCTCTTGAACATTACTTAATATCAAGCTATTTTAATATAATAATTCTGGTAACAATTTTTTATATAATTCACAAGAAAAGACCTCTCCTGTTGACTACAATGATAAAGTTACAGGAGTTTGTATTAGTGATACAGGCACAGCCTGTGTGGTACTCGGCTCACTAGAGCACTGCAATGTCACTACATGTGGCGCGACAGTCTGTACTTGGCCAGAATTCAGAATCTGCAATGTATCTGATGCTAGGAACGTGTCTGTTGATAATGTTGTGGACTGGGAACTGCCTCCCAGGCTCCCGTTGCTCGGGCAAACTGTTTGAACTTGTGGTGTAGGGTGGAGTGCGTTTATGAATGGGCCTTGAGAGAAGTCATGAGATTGGGTGAGGGTAAGGCAGGGAGCATCAGGGGTTGAAATGACTTGATTTGGGAGTATAATTGATTGGTTTTGCTCGGTATTTTGGGTGTGTATTTGCTGTTCTTGTTGTAGTTGTTGCTGAAGTTGTTGTTGTAGCTGCATGGTTTGTAACTGCAATTGTTGTTGCTGCTGTTGTAATTGTTGTATTTGCAGTTGTGTGTGTTGAGTTGGTGTTAGCACCACCTGTCGACTCGTGCCTTGTGCCTGAGTGGTTGTGGGCACATTCAGCCCTAGGGAGGGGTTTATGGTTATCACTTGCGGGTTGTTCTGCCCGGAAAGTAATGTCCCTTGAATCGCAACATTCCCTGTAGCTGCTTGTAAGATACCGAGTTGTTGTAAGGCTTGCAGTTGGGCATTTGCAAAATGGTGAATTTGAACGCCATGTGCAGCTGCATTGTGGGACACTGGCTTCGGCTTTACTTTTTTTGGTTTGGGATGATCTTTCCACCAATTGATCAAGCCATGCACGGGGGGTTCACGGTCCCCACCTAAAGGGAAAATATTTGATTTTAAAACAAATGTGAGATTCTCATTGATAAGTGAAATCAGATTGGTTTTAGCAAGCATGAACATGCAGTATTAAGTAGAGTCTCATTTTGAGGTCTGTTGAGACAATAGTCAACCAGCAGTTAGAGAACAATATAACAATATTATTTTTTGATGGTGACAAATAGAATTGAGGGATGTATTTGAAATCATTCGCCCTTATAAGCGTCAACAATTTTAAAGTGCATATGACATGAAATTTCTTATTTTCTTAAACGAAAGAACTCTTTAAGCTGTAGTGTAACTTATTTTTCAGTTTCTTGTTTTCATGGTTTGTTCCCGAGATATTTCAATTTGTTTGGTATGTAAATGAGTGTGAATATGTCCGCTAATTTATGACGTCACGTTGGTTACAAGCTCAACTGGTTATAAATCTATTAACTCTAAAAACTGTAGGTATCTGTTCACGTTTATCTACAGTGTTTCATCACATTTACCAGTGAGTGAAGTTTGAAATTATCATCTTGGATGATAGCAGTGATATTCAACCATTTTGAAGAGCTTGCAACCAACATGACGTCATAAATTAGCGGACATATTCACACTCATTTACATATCAAACAAATTGAAATATATCGGGAACAAACCATAAAAACAATTAAGAAACTGAGAAATAAGTTACACTACAGCTTAAAGAATTCTTTCATTTAAAAAAATAAGAAATTCCGTGTCATATGCACTTTAACGTTCTCCACCATGTGCTGTTTTGTAACTGTTACTGAAACAAACAAACGCCTTGTGTTAAGTGTCACTATAATACGAACACAAGATGAACAGTTGAATATAACACTAAGAATGAAACTGCAAAAATATCAAATATATGACCACAATCTTTGCTGAGTGCGTCCAAGTTTGCAAACCACTCTATATTTGTTTGTCTAATTTTATACCAAACAATTGACGTCTCAGACATTTATGTTGTCTCTGACTTCAAAGACTGTCTTATATAAATATGGCCATTTTGGCTGACTTGCCCGAGGCATTAAACATCAGAATGAAACGTGCTGCTAACAACCGAGCATAAACTAGATGCTTGGCTGTATAAAATTTGTATATACCAGTTACTAACCGGTTTTCTTCATCTGGTCATTGACCCTGCCGATGGTGCTGTGACTACATCCAGTGACCCATGATATAAATTTATAACAGTTTGATCTTGCTCCGCCTGAAGGTGTCAACATTTCTGCCAGGACTCTGCGAGCTTCGGCCTGTCCCGTAGCTGAACGCTCCCTCCATTGCTGTAGAAGTTTACTGTGAGTAAGTGTCATCTGTATATTGAAAGAGAGAACGTTTGTTTAGTGGAAATATCAACCTAAACTAGACAACACCTAACCAGGGCCGCCAAGAGAATTTGTGGGGCCCGGGGCAAATCTTCTATGGGGACCCAATGTCCCATGACATCATTATTTTTAAGCTAGACCCAGGTCAATCACCCAACTAAACTTTAGCTAGACTGCATGAGGAGCTACTGTGAAGGGCCCTCAATTTCAAAATGCTCCAGTGACCAATTTAAAGAACCTACTCAATTTTAGGCTATCGATCTCAAGTTGGGGCCCTATTAATGTGTGGGCCTGGGGAAATTTGCCCCCTCCCCCCGGGCTGTGCCAACCGGTATCTGATTGGGGGTGTTTAACCCCCCCCCCCAGGTGTTCTGGGTCTGCCCCCCCCCCCCCTCTCGGCAGCCCTGCACCTAACCACTGTGTCACCTCTACAATAATTTAATACTGCTTACCGAGACACACTTGTCTACACAACACATTTCCTTCGACAGTTCCGCAATGGGTTTTAATTTTCCAAGTATGGCCTGGCCCTTCTGTCGTTCAACACGCAATGGTTTCTAGAAAACGAAAATTACATAACTTCCGTCGAAGACTCACTTTTTTTGTCTTTTTAGTTCTTTGTGTGTTTTAGTACAATATGGGTTACAGGACAGCAGTAGGTAATCAACTTCAGAATTAATGTTATAAAATAAATAACACTTTCATAGGGCGAAAAAATGAACAACTCCGCTACTGTACATCTCTCTATTTTGTTTTATTACTTATTTGCCACCAAATACAAGACCAGTACGTCTAATAAAATTATTAATATTATACTTTCTCACTATGATAACTGTAAGTTGACGAGCCTCTGTTGCATGATATTGCTATAAGTGGCAATCTGCCCAGATGCACCCTACTTTATTATTTTACTCTGTCTAATGCCAGATGATTTTATATACTTGTCAGGGGGAGAGTGCTGCCACTCAATGGGATAATGCAACCAAACTAGCTATACAATGTTGGAGTTATTAATTGGGCAACAAAATCCCAATAAAATATTTGGAAAAACTCACTGTTGGATCAGTCTTTAGTTTTTTGTGTAAGAAATTATTGGAATAACAAAGTACTCTCTGAGTGGCTTGTTCACAAAGCTTCAGCTCTTCTCGGAGGTATTTTCGTTGTTCTAGCACAAATTCCTCAAACTCTTTTGACTTCCTCTGCCCATTTCCCAGGCCGATGGTTTTCCCTCTAAAACAAGAAATAATGTGCTGGTGTTAGTAATTGTGATCATGGTGATGGTATTGTTTCGGTTGTTAATTGTTCTGGTTATTGCTGTTGCCATTGTTGCAGTTGTTATTCACATTGTTTATTTCTGTTGTGCCTATTAATTATCTGCTTGAAATTTGTTGTTGTTTGTGGGTTGCCAATGTGTGGCCATTGTTGTTGTTGTTGTTGTTGTTGTTGTTGTTGTTGTTGTTGTTGTTGTTGTTGTTGTTGTTGTTGTTGTTGTTGTTGTTGTTGTTGTTGTTGTTGTTCTGTTTCTGCTATGGTTATTCTTGTTTATCAACACCAAAGTATATACGACCAACCTTTTCCCTTTTCTCTCAACTGACAAGTTCTCAGTCTCATCACCATTATAACATTTCTTTTTGGAAAGAATTTGGGATTGTTTGAGTAGGCTGAGCAGCTGCTGTGCTCTTTGACGAGATTCATCTATGTTTCCTAAAAAGATTTAATGTGAAAGATTCTTTAATTATAATTAAAGTAGTTGTTTTGTTTCATCAAGGATACATGATATTATCCTGCACAGAAAACCATTTGGTATAATTCCTTTAGCCATGCACTAAATACTGGTTAACTAGGTTACCCACAGGGCAGTAATGCTGCCTTTGACAGCAAAAGACAAACTACAGGGTGTTGAACGAGTCCTTCAGAAACATCCTATTATTGTTATCCTTGTTAACCCATTTATTGACAGTACCCTACCACTGATTGAGTATTAAAAATCGTCTGGCGTTGGACAGGGTAAATACTAAAGTAGGGTCATTACTGTGTTGATGAATTAACAAGAGCCACTGGCAGATAGGTTTGTTAACCCATTTACTGGCAGTACCCTATACCACTGACGAGTAAAATCTTCTGGCGTTGGACAAGGGAAGGGCGCATTGCCAGCTAATGGGTTAAACCACCGCGGTTAAACATAAGATTTCATGATGCTCCAGGAAATGTAAACAAGCTATCAGTGTGACATCCCAGTTTATATATTTATATACTCGGAATATTGATTTATCGGTATAAAATTATATATATATCGGTATATAGTTATATATATTATATTTATCGGTACAAAATTATTTTAAAGTATAACAACCAGCGAAGACGTAAGCCACCAACTAGCCTGCGCGCAGACTATATAATGACATATTATATGTCATCCGTCCGGTCCGTCCGTCGCCATCCGTCCGTCCGTCCGTCATTCATCCGTCCGTCCGTCATTCATCCGTCCGTCCGTCATTCATCCGTCCGTCCGTACCCGCGTTTTATCCTAACCCGTTTTTAAAACACAAAGTTTGCATAATTAATTAACGCAATGCGGTTCGTCATGATCAACATTTTCAAAAGCGGCCAATTAGACCAGGGGTTAAAGGGCAATGACAATGACATGCAGGTGACATTTAACATTGCGTCTCACTAATTAAAATTTGCGTGTTTAATAATGTTTATCAAAGAAAGCAAAAATGTATACAAGACAATCTCACATGTGGAATTTTTTCACTTACGTACTGCCTTGTGATGCAGTACAAGTATAAATACAAATAACAAAGCATTTGTAAATTCTAAAACATAATTAAAAAATCATACGGCACATTTAAGATTTTAATATCGTATTTCAGCCGCGTTTATACTGTTTGGCGCATTCGCTGCGTTATATTCATTTATATTCAGTTATATTCATCAGA